TGTCTTTTATTGGTTATAAATTTATATATGGTTTGCCCGAACACGCGGACAGTTTTGTACTGAGGTCCACAACGTGAGGATTTTCAATATATTTGAATTTTTGAGAACATTAATATCTTTATAAATTCTCTTTTGTCAACTAAAGTCATTAACCTATCTTCTATTTTTACACAGTTACCTGTGTTTCTTAGTAATGAATTATTTCAAGAATTTCCTCATTACAATAGTAAAAAAATCAAGATGTGGTTCTTAATCTCTTGCTTTTTCATTTCAAAAAGAATTTTTTAGCTCTACAGATCCTTATCGATTATATAATTTGGATGTTTTTGAATTTGAAGTTAATGAACTCATGTCTCTCTATGGTGCAGTACCTTTTTTGCTAGCTCATAACAAGGATCATTCATTGGGCATGTTGTGGTTAAATGCTGCCGAAACGTGGGTAGATATTAACTCTTCAACTGCGGATAAGGTTCACCTTCTTAACTGTAAATATAAACAAGATTGTTACTGATAAGGTAAATTGAATCAGAAATGAATATGAGTATTTACAGAAATGAATATTTCTGCAATGGTTTTTGCTTTTTGTAAAGCTTTATTTATACTCAAAGTAAAAAAGATTTAAGAAAATTTCAATGCGCGAGTTATTCAAATAATTTTTCGATTAATTCCAGGGCATTCTGCGTTCACTTGTTGAGAAATTCAAAAATTCCGTAGATTTGCCACAGATTGATGTTCATTTCATGTCGGAATCAGGTCTCATTGATTTCTTCTTAATGTTGGGTCCAAAACCCAATGATATATTCAGACAAAATTCTGGATTGAGTGGAGTTTATCCATTGCCACCTGTATGTATTTATTACTTTGTTCTGATACTATGGTTGTGCAATAACTTTTAATATAATATCTAGTCCGTTTCTTTAAAGTTGGGAAATTTGGGCGCAGTTACAGAAAGCAAATATTTTGCAAATACTCCTCACTTTTATAATTTATTTTGCAGTTGTTTTCGCTGGGTTACCATCAGTGCAGATGGAATTATAATGACGAAGGCGATGTTCTTGAAGTACACACCAACTTTGATAAACACGATATACCATTAGATGCTATTTGGCTTGATATTGAACATACTGATGCGAAACGGTACTTTACATGGGAGCCTAATAAATTTTCAAAACCAAAAGAAATGATCGGTAACTTAGTAGCAAAGGTAAGTTTTTAAAATAGTTCATTTGGATTTTTTCAGATCCTGGAATCAAAAACTTTTCTCATTGCAATTTTGTTCCTTCATTTTCACATAACTGTAATCAATTTATGTCTACAGGGACGCAAAATGATTACAATCATTGATCCTCACATAAAAAAGGATGATAATTACCACGTATATAAAGAAGCAAAGGAACTCGGTTACTTTATAAAGGTGTGCTTTGTCCTTTATTGCAAATTCTTTATTTTTGAGCATTAGAAAAGTTGAATTAGATTGAAGAATTCTATTTGAATTTAGAATTCTATTTAGTTTTTACCCTTTGGATGACGGAATTCAATCTTTTGGGTTATTTGTTTGCACCTTTAAATTCATTCATAGTATAAGCCATTTTCTATTGTATCTCACTGCATTTTCTTTTTTTTGTTCTGCAGTTTTTATAAGTTTTTATTCTGAATTTCAAACTTGTTCCTTTTGTTTGTAATTTTTTCGTCACTATTATATTGTTGCTGCTATTTTAGGACAAGAATGGTGAAGACTACGAAGGACATTGTTGGCCAGGTGCATCGTCATATCTTGATTTTTTGAATCCTGCAGTTCGTAATTTTTGGGCAAATAAATTCGCTTTCGATCAATATATTGGCTCAACGGAAGATTTGTTCACATGGAATGATATGAATGAGCCATCAGTGTTCAGTGGTCCAGAAATAACAATGCACAAAGATGCTAGACATTTTGGCGGTTGGGAGCATCGTGATGTCCACAACATTTATGGTTTTTATCATGTTAGTTGCAAATTTTAGCAAGCAGTGAAAATTTGATTTCATCTTTACATCTTTTCGGATATTTGTTGATTTACTACTTTTAATGGATCTTAAAATGTTTAAATATTGTGAAGTTCGTTCTTGACAGATATAATTAACTTTCGATACAATGGGAATAAAGCATTTCATTTTAATAGTTCTTATAGCATTCATCAACTTACCTCGGTCATTTGATGCGTACAAATGGTCGCAAACGACCATTTATATTGACCCGATCATTTTTTGTTGGTAGCCAACGTACAGCAGCTGTATGGACTGGTGATAATACAGCAAGCTGGGAACAATTAAAAACATCCGTACCCATGGTACTTTCACTCTCCATTTCTGGCATACCACATGTTGGTGCTGATGTTGGTGGTTTCTTCGGTAATCCAGATGATCAGCTTTTAATACGTTGGTACCAGGTAATGTTTTGATTAAATTACGTTTTCTGTCAAATTGGTTATATGAGATCTGTAGGAATGAATTTACGTGGTTTAATTCTTATCTTTACATTAAAGTTAATTTATGTGAGTGCGTATAATCATAGAATATTTCTTGAGTATACTGTGTGCGTATAAATCTTTTTTTTAGGTTGCCGCTTTCCAGCCGTTTTTTAGATCTCATTCCCATATTGACACGAAGCGCAGAGAGCCATGGTTATTCTCAAATAGCACCAAATTAGCAATTCGACAAGCAATTCGAACTCGTTATTCTTTCTTGCCTTACTGGTAATTTTTTTGGGTTGTGTTGAAAATGATTTTTTTATGTTAGAAAATGATTGTGTGCCTCTGCGAATTATCCATTTTTTCGATAGTAAAACTAAGACTTTTAGAACCTGGGCTAGCATACTGGGATTTTTCATCATTTTTATTGAATTATTTCTTGTATCTGTTTTGATAAGTTTATTTTATTGCATTTCATAAGTGTTACTGATGACACTTTTGAATCATGGCATGTATCATTCATGGAACTGTCATTGTGCTATCCTATTCAATTATATATTTCGTTGACAAATTCATTCTATCTTTTTTGGCGTTGTTTATACATATCTTCTCTTAATACTACTCAGGTATACTTTGTTTTACGAACATACTCTTACCGGAAAACCGCCAGTGAGACCGTTATGGACCGAATTTCCGGATGATGAAGGTGCGTATGATGAAGAACGTGAGTGGTTATTAGGTCCCGGCTTACTTGTACGCCCAGTAATGGATCCCGATGTTCAGTCCGTTTCATTATATCTGCCGGGCAAAAAAAACGTAATGTGGTACGAATGGAATGATCATAAGGTGTGATTTTTTTTGTTATCTTTATTATTGGTTATCGGTTATGTAAAGCATGAGAAAAAATGGACTGGAAGTTATTATCTAAATATGTAATAATAAAAATTCCAATATTTTCGAAAAATTCATTACAGTCTCTAAATGTTAGAAGTTTCTTTTTACAGGGTCGTGTAGCTCCTGGCGCTGTTTACGTGAATACACCAATTGATGTAATACCGTTATTTCAACGAGGTGGTACCATCATTCCAACATGGGGAAGAGTACGGCGGGCTTCGTCACTAATGTTTCAGGATCCCATTACTTTATATATTGCAATCAATTCCAATGTATTTTTTTTATTAAATTAATATGATATGCTGTCCAAGTAGAATTCTACTGATGTAATAGAGAACTTCATCGATCTTTTTGAAAATTTTTTAGTGGTGACAATTTACAAATACAAATCTTCGTTTTTTGAGACAAAAAATCGTTGTTAAGTTTTTGCAGAATTCAGAACATCTGAAGTAGAAATTCACATATGTTATCCTTAAATGTCTTAAAACTTTTTAGAGTCTGACTTCTATATATTGATTAGGTCGCAAAACTTTTATAGGGTGATTTTGCAAATGGGACAATTTACATGGACGATGGGGAGACATTTGATTACAAAAATGGTCATTACTTCTATTGGGGCTTCGTCTACAAAAAAGAAGGCGATCAGTTGCATTCAATTTCATCGAAAAATTTGGATAAAAGAGGAAAATTAGAAAGTGATGCTATTATAGAAAAGATTATAATACGAGGTGTTCGGTACTATCCGACGAATGTTCACATTTACTTAGATGGTAGCCATTTTTGTACTTATAATTTTCATATATTTCCCGCGCTTTCAAACTGTTGATTATTTTAAATGTGATTGTCAGGATTGCGAAAATTAAAAATTAGTAATAGTCCATTGAAGCATATCTTTTCATTATAATATCCTTGCTTTTTACACTCCGTTATTTTTTAGATTGGAATCCAGAAACTGCTGACTATACGCATGATCGCGATTCTCAAACCCTAATTATTCGAAAACCGAATGCTATGTTAACGCAGGAATTCAGAATTGATATTCACATGTAAATGCGGAACGATCCTTAACACACTTTAGCTCTTCCTCGTGGATTGAGATGTAATAGGACTTTTTTATATGATATTCTTGCTCTAAATCTGTGTTGCTGGTAGATGTGAAGGTCAATTCAAATTATCAACTCCTTGTTACCAATTTTGGAAATAGATGCTAGCTGTTATATGTTGTATTTATAGAGTTTGCGGTAAAACTTCTCCTCATTTATATTTTGTTGCTGAATTAATGCTGTAATTTATTGCCCTATTGTTAACTCTTGAACTTGTTCTTCCGTAGTCTTTTTCAATTTTTAAGAGTTTTAATACAGCAACGATTTTGGGTAAAGGAACATTTTGAAGGGTATACTAACTCTTATTCCTATTCCTCTTTCGAGATTGACTGCCGAGTATTTTATCTGCCATCAGCAAAAATACAGCATATTAGTCTTTTTTGTTGTATGCATTTCTTGTTTGTAATGCAAAATATCTTAACAGCACGCGTTTGTTGTTGATGCTTTAGTAATTATGTTATTTTCAGCAAAGTTTATTAATTCATTTATTTGCTCTTTTTCTACTCAAAATGTGCATAAAAATAAAGATGAACTTCTTTAGGAAATTTAAGATTATTTAGATCCTGAATATTGCAGAAATGTCGTGCAGTGATTGTACCAAATGTTGTCTAAATCGATGTGAGTCCTGCAAAAGACACAAAAATTGAAGAATAATTATGGTGGATTGATTAACTTCTGCACTGCAGTAGTTCAACGTTGGTTCTTGATATACAGAATTATAACTGATTGCATGTAAAGAACCATCCATTCTATTCGGTATTATGTGAATAAACGATGTTACTTTAAAGCGAATCTTAATTTTAGTTCATTTCTCTGTAAAATAAGACTCTTGGGTTCATCATCTTTACTACAGTAAGGATAAGTATAAGGAAGAAAATTTTTTAAAGCTCCAGAGCATGTGTATGTGCTTGCATAATTGGCATACTGAGAAGCAGCAGACAAAGGTGTAGTCGAGGAAATCAGAGCATTGAAAATGGATTTAATTCATAGGGAATTCCAGAATTCTAGAACATCCGAATGTTCTAGAATTTTAGAATTCCCTATGAAGGGTTCGAAGGTTGCAGTGGCAGCGATAGTAATTTGGTTAAAGGGATGAAATGAACCAACCGTATTTTCAGCAGATTTATAACAGGCGATATTTATACATATTGAATGATTGCCAGCAAAACGATAACTGATACCATATCCAGTTTTACAAACAGCCTGGAAACCGCCACCAAGCCATGAAAGATCAGGATACTTATCTTCATCTATTTGACGTGTTACACATGGTGTCTGTAGTGAGTGATTTTTTAATGCAAGAATGAAATCATATGTGATTTATTCAATATGATATATCACTTCATTTATGAAATCCTTAATTTCAAAGCATTTCGATTTCCTACTCTAAAGCTGAAGGACAATTTTCAATGTATGATTTATTTATATACTTTTTTTGGCTTTAGTGATAAGAACGTGTCTTTTTTTTAATTTTCAAAAATGTTAATTTGATATAACCTGGCTTGTACTAAGTTCCCATGGTTGAGATATATAGTAATCTAGTAATGAACTATTTATGCCAGTCATTTTGCTTAGAATATGAAGAACAAATAAATGTCGGTCAATGCCATTTCCTGTTAGATTTTCTTTGCTATGGAATGCATGAACTTCTGTTGCTTCTTTTAATAATTTAAGACGTTCTTCGTTCTGAAATAATAGTGGAAGTTTGTTTTATATGAAAGATATATATATATATATATATAGATTTCAAATAAATTCAAGCTGGATTGGAAGCTTACGCTGCTTCCTGTAGTGACCATTGACCTAACAAATGCGCATGATTCTTTTGTTACAGGGCGTAATGTTTCTGTTCTTGAATTTGCATAAAATCTTGCTGATATCGATTCATAGGTTAGACAGAATTTGCGTTGATCCTAAAATAATATTTGAAATTTTCAAAAATAGATGTGTTCATTATAACTGTTGAATTTCAGGAGATTGGAACTTTCTTATTCATAAAAGAAATATTTAAACTAGCAAGGAAGAAATAAGGAACTTGTTGTAAAGGATTTTTTGTTGTAATTAGTCATTATGGAGCTTTTTTACTAATTATTGAGAAAACCAACTTTGAAGCTTGCTAATTGTATAGCCATTTGAACAAATGCATCAGGTGAAATGCCAGTTTTTTTGATAAAACCTTTGCCAAAATTACGGAAGATAAGGCAGGCTACGTCGACATCGTTGATTTGTTCCTGATAACTGGTGTAACAACGGATAATCTCTGCCTCCATCTAAACAATACTTTAATTTTGGGACTGCGGTGGAAACAACGGGAAAGATAAGAGCAAAAATCTGTGCAAAGTTTACATATTCCGTTTTGGGTGCAAATTTCACTACTAGTACTTGTTTATGCAATGAAAGGTTAATTAGGTAAAGAAAATCAAGGATAATAGAAGTAAATCAAATTTAATGAAAGGGAAAAAAGATCAATCAAGTTGAATAAAGAGGAACAGAAGTTAACTCAACTATTGTAATAACAAGGAGCAGCTGGATCAAAGATGGAAAAGTGATATAAAAAGAAGCCGTAATTAGTATGTGAGGAGAATAATAAGTTTTTCGTTTCTCTAGTTAGACGAATATGGAAATATGAATAAATAGCTAATTAAAAATTCAATAAAAAACATAACTAGTGTCTCAACGGAAGTTTCAACTATTTAATCTACAAGAAAACCAAGAATTAGACTTTTTTGTATTTTTATTTGCGTTTCGTTTCTTGCAATTTTCCTTGTATTAAATTACTTCATATCTTTTCTAATGGAAAACAAAAGATGCTTATTAATGGCAATTTCAAAGCTGCTCAAAGTTTCACCTGCTCATTAATATCAAAATTCAGTCGAACAGCATACTTTTTCGTTGTAGAAAGGTTGTTGAGATGTATTAGTTCCACTGTTTGTGGATATCTATAAAGTATGCTTTGAAAACTTAATAAAAGAGTGAAATGGTAAGGTAGAAAGTTGTAAAAAGTAAAGAAAAGAATAAAAGAATGAAATTGATTGTGCAAGAAGAAGAAACTTAATGAGTGATGCAGACTTCTGAGGAAAGATAATTTTCAAAAATATAAGCAAATTCTGCTCCATCGGCAACTGAATGTTCTGTTGTTCCGCCACCCTAAAATGTTATTGAAGAGATTCACAACAAATAATAAGCCATTTTTTATAAGTGATTAAATCTTATTTGTAATCATTCTCAGCAAAGCAATTATCAAAAAGCGCAAACATTGTGCGCTTTCATGTATCATATCAGAAAAAACATTTCAATTTCTCATATTTGCATCTTTTTTCTCAAATAAGAATAAAAATAACGAACTCTTCCATTAGAGCTAATAACATAATTTAATGATTTATCCGCCCAGCGATTCCTTCCATCACCAGTTATCATATTTTTTAAGAAAATTTCCAGTGATTCCTATAATTAAATAAAATTGTATATGAAATGCAGATATAATGCATTGATACATGCATGTTACGATTATGCATGTAAGTACATAAAATTACCCACCAGATCATCGCTATAATTAGTATCCTCAAGTATCAAATAGAAATTAGCTGATTCTATTACAGCTAAAGAAGCACGATTTACAGCATTTTCGAGAAAAAATCGACGACGATTTAAACACCATTGATTTCGACAATCGGTTGTTAATGCTGCAATTTGTCCTTCTACTTCTCCAACATTTTCATTACGAGTTAACAATTCCGAAAATATCCTTAAATAAAATACGGAAAACATATACCTTAGAACATGAAAAAAAAAACAATGAAATAAATACATTTATCAATCATAAAAGAATGAATGAAAATATCATATAAAATTAATTAGAAGGAAGAAAATTAATATGTTAAAGTAATTTAGAGAATTATCTAAAATTAACGTATAGTTTCTTCACTTACTCAATAAGTTCCTCTAAACTGAGAATACAATTATTCTCATCAAAAACATCCAATTTATAAATGCAACCTCGACAATAAACGACAATATGACGTGAAGTTCCACAATATACATCCAAATGATCTGAATGAAACATCGATGCATTCATCGATGTGATCATTTTGTCTTTTAATTTTCATTGAAGCAAAAATTGGAATTTATAATATTCTTTTCATTTTAATTATCTGTTCTATTATAATTATTCAAATGTTTCTGTGATTGTATCTAAAACTTTTCAAAAATGTTTTTCTTTAATGTTTAAGTAATATAAATAATTTGGGCAAAAGCTAAAATTACACAATTTGAATGTTTACAGTTTTATAGATAATAAATTTAGAGTACCCATATTTTCTCCCGGTACACGTGTTGTTCCATAACATTTCCAGAGATGTGATAAACTAATTGTTCCACCAGCTATCTGCAAAAATCACTTACAATCAGTAAATAAATTGGCTCAGATCAAAGATCAAAAATTATCTAGAAGCTCAGATCTAGAATTACATTTTATTCAATCGATAAAAAAAAGTTAATTTTAATATAAAACCAATTTCATTAAGCCATGCAATCATCTCGGATATTGTATTTATTTATAGTCACTAAATTCTTATTTTCTTTTCCTTCCATATTTAATAAAAGAGAAAATTGAAGATGAAGATGAAATCTGAAGGTTGAAAGTGAAGAAACACAAGATTTAAAGTAATGTGTGATAGCTAAACATTCTTCAAAGTAACATACAATTTGATGCCAACCAAATCATTACACTGTATTAATGAAATTCGTTATAATTATAGGTTAATTTTCATTAATGTCTGACATTGTTTTAAAATTTGAACTAATTATTTTATTCAAAATAATTTTTTTTCTATATTCAACTCATTTAATGAGTTTATTAATGAGTTTAAAAATTACCTCTTCATAGTTCAATCTTACATTATATCTTTTATAATTTAAAAACCATTTCTATGATATTTATTAAATTAATAGAACATTACTACATTATTGCAATAATTTTGATGAAAAGGAATGATTAGTTTTCTTTTTTTCTCAATCTTTAATAAACGATCAATATTACAAAATTACTACAGATAAATAAATAATAATAGTGTCATACAGGTCGTAAAGATTCTCGATCAACTGATAGCATACTCAGTGTTTCCAACAACACAACAAGCGCTGCTCGAACAGCTTGATTGGCTGGTATATTGTGGAAAAGATCCTGAAATAATTGACTTTTATCAAAATTTCAAATTGAATATTCAATTATTTTGCATGTTACCATTGATAATTGATAATTTATTTCAATTCAAACTATTTCAAATATGATAAAACTCTCAATTATAACATTAATTAAACTTTTGAAATAATAAATTAATTGAATTAATAAATTGAACATTTTTTTCAACAATGTTGAAAAAATATTTAATGTTAGTTACTTTGCAACACAGTTTGCGTGATGATTTGGGATAAAAATTGCTTTTTTTTCTCCTTTTTAATTAACTAATTAACATTATAAGAGCACTAACCAAATGCGCAACGCTACTATTTATCATAACGCTCTTCCTCGAATACAAATATGCGTATTTCTCCCATAACCTTGTGACCTATAAAATTGATCTTTTTTTTGAATTTTCTAATCTAAGAAAATCAATTTCATTCTAATGTTTTCACAAAATTTTAATGATATATACGATTTTTCACGTACGCCACGTTTGTTAACAACAAACGACGTTCAAATAAATTTTGCTTAAGCTTTACTTTGTGAACCAACGAATACGTTATTTGTTTTCATTGTGCTAATTAATTTATTTTAATTCTATCTATTTTATTTCATATATGAAATTGATTTACATAATTGCTAACGAAGCACCAATAGAGCCACGCTAATGCTTGAAGTTTCCATCCTTCATTTTTTAAAAAATTCTCAGCCATTTTCTTTACATTTATAAATTCATCCTATAAAGAATTAATATTTCATTAATTTAAATTGTCAAATGAATGGTTTTGAACAGTTAAATAATTGAGGAAATGAAATAATTTATTTTTAATTTACATAAGAGATTGTTCGTTTTAAACTTTTTTGAAAAGAAAAGATTTTGTTGGGCATTCTGCCAAGTGTGATAGCACAAAAACAAAGAATACTTTCCTCTTCGACGGATTTATTTTTGTTTGAACTCAGTACAAAATAAAATCACTTCATTTAAATTCATTCCAGCTTCAAATTACTACTGAATTAAAAATACTCGGCAAAACTGTCTGATACAAAATTCCAAAACGAGGAGAGAGTGGATAAAGTTAGAAGCTTGTAATATGGCATTTAATTCTGATGACAGCCGCAGTCATTGAATACATCAAAAAACCAGCTTTAAGTACCTCAATAAATTTGTTGAATCTTAAGGTCTTCTGTATCACAATGCATATTAGAATGTTTCCCGAAAAACGGATTAAGAAGCGAAGAATTATTCAACATATTCAAGTGAGACTCACAGGACTCAGCAAAGGTTCCACACTGTTAAGATATCTGGCGATAGTACCTTTAAGCGGTGGAAGCGGTAAATTTGGCAGTAATCCTTCACACGAATAAAGCTGCGGTGATAATTTACTGAACAAGCTGTGAAATATCTGCAAAGTTAATTATTAGTGGGGGAAAAATATCCTAAGTTTAAACAATTAGCAGACAAAATAAAATAATTCGATAGTTAATATCAACAATTTCTCACAATACGACAATATCAACTAATATACAACGTTATGCCACAGTATTTAAAAATGAATAATTTATGTAGAAAATTATGAGATGAAAATAAAATAGTTTTAAGAAACTTACAAACCAAACTTTTGTTGAAAGTGAATAGTTCCCTTCTTTTTCAAACAGATATCTTTTATAACCAAAATATAAATGCTTTATTGCTAATCTGAGCAGCAATACTGGTAAGTATGTGCTTATAAAAGCAATCTGTAAAATTTTGAAATTATAGAAATGTTTCTGTCAAATCGATTATTGCCAATTTATTCAAAAAATTCAATTCAATAATCACAAAAATTGAAGAGTTCAAAGTTAAAAAGTTCAAATTAAGGTTAAATTTGTACTAACCAATAAAACATTAAGAATGAATGCAATCTGTTCATGAAGTACTTCCCGCAAAATTATGAGAAAATTTTGTTTCGGTGGGTTTTTATATAAAAGTGAAGCAATCACTATGAATATTGTTAAAAACAGTATTGGAGAGATGGGATAAAGGCGGTTGTGAAGAGCATTCTGAAAATATTCATTGCAATCATCAGATAAGTATTATTAGTGACAGATAAAAATTGCAATTATATAATTTTAAAGATTCGAAATCTGAATCTACATAAAATTCAATATTTTCGAAGTTCAAATCAATATAACATGCAGCATTCAGTTCATCTATTTGAACTTTGAATTTTCCGCACCTCATCATAAAAACTCGCATTGATTGAATTTTATAATGGAACAAGAAATATTTTTGAATCTGTTATATTTATAATTTAAAAAAGAAAGGATTACCTTGAACCGATAGCAGTTCCGTTTAAATCGATTTGGAAAATAACCGTCCGTACGATAGGGACATTTTGGATTTCGTAAAATAGTATTCGTCATTGTCAAATTGTCATTCTATTTGAAAATAAATGAAATGTTAAAGTGTCGTCGAAATTACCTAAAATTTTACGAGTGATTAATGAAATTACTTGCGAGCATAATAATGTATTTGTCACAGAAAAGAATTGTACCTTTTCACTGTCATCCAGTTCAGTCACATTATCAATTTATTGAGCATCTCCCAGATATTATGATTTCTCAGAAAGCTAAAGTAAACATTTTACCATGTTAGCTGCATATACAAAATTTTTTTTGACTGTCGGTCTATTCTCGAGGCAGACAGTTTCGAACCTTGTTACCTTTCCAATTTACTTTGTCGAATAATCATACTATAGTATGAAGTTCTTCCGGAACTTAAAAGATTACGAGGGAATTAACCCCGATCATTACTTCCAGTTGATCATTGTCAATTTCTGGCAACCGATCACTACAATGATGGAATTTTCATCATTAAGACTTTACTCTTCTCTCCTTCTAAGTTAAATGCATGAGTTTTCACCACTCCTTTATATTCCTTGGCGGATTTCTCTTTCGCCTACTATCTGTTCGTAACGAAATCATAAAAGAAGAAATGAGCAATAAAATGGCATATATATTTTTTTAAACAGCAAAATTTAACTATGTAAAAATCTAATCTAATTATTCATGCCATTTGATCAGTTAATGTGCTTATTGTCTCTTAATTCTACATCTGATATTGTTATTGAGCGATAAGGAAAATTATCATTCCACTGATAATCAAATATTTGATATTACGATATAGAAGATTGCAGAATGATGATCAATAATATAATATAAATTACTAGTGATGGTAATGACGATTTATAAAGAAATGACATTAGTGATGATTTCAAGATATTGCGTTAAATATATAAATGTAATATGTTCACTCAAAAGAGATTTCTATATTAATGTATATAACGTCCAGAATCTCTTTTGTATTAGTGTTTGCCTCGAGGAAACAAAGGCACAGGTATCCCGCCCCTCCCCCTCTCATTTGAGCGTATCATCCCTTTATAGGAGTAAACATCAATGATAAAAAGGTCATCTAAAGTGATCGGAGAAAACTTGAGAAACGACAGAAAGATCGCAGAAATAGGAATTATAATACGATTGCAATTTGGAGCACGTTCTTTTTATGAAAAAAATGACAGTGAACTAATTAAATGCATTGTCACTATCAATCACATCACAAAGAGATTTGATTACATTTTATGCTATCAATTCGATGTATTTAAATAAATATTGAACTGGCTGATCAAATAGATTATTATTTATTATCATTCTCCCTCCTTTATTCCATAGCTATATGATCAGCAGATATATGATACTGTCAATGTGTGATAAATTAGTCATGACAATAACGCAAATGGTTATGCTAATTTCTGAGTAAAAAAAATGTTTTTTGAACTTAGACTGCTATGTTTGATCTATTTTAAATTAGTTGAGACGTTAATAATTGAAAAAAGAACCTTTAAAATAAAATTTCAACATTTTTTGACAGGATCTCTCTTTTCCTTCCTTCTTCTCTCTCGCTCTTTCTCTCTCTCTCTCTCTCTTTCTCTCTCTCTCTAAAGATTAATTATTAACTGTTCAGCAATTTGAAACTCACTGTCAAATTATTGCTTATACTGCTACACTATTTAGAAATATCTAACCTTGTGATCATTCACTACTGCTTACTGAAAAGGAAGCGCAAGCACGACTTTGATTTAGAAGTTTGAAAGCTCCGACAAGTTATAGTGGCCAGCATCTTGCTGATCAAAACCCAATGTAAACGAAACAAAGCAAACCAACACAACTTCAGAATTCAATTCACACAACACTTCATACACTACTGATTGGTTCAATCAATGACCATGTGTGTCAGATCCACTATATATCAGTGGATATCAACGATCATCACTGACGTAGCAGATGTCCCTATCTGTTTCATCATTCACACACGTCGCAAGACTCGAACCTTTAAGGTTCTATGTGACATTGCAGAACTAACCAGTTTGTCATGCAAAACACATAACTACTTGTGCTTTTTTCATATTTCAATAAAGAAGAAAAGACAGGAAATGTAGATGGGAAAGTTGGAAGAATTGTTTGAGAATGGAAGGGTACATTCCTTCTACTCAGAAAACTTCTCATCTATCTTATCAAAGTATTACTTACGAACTTTTAACAAATTTACTTTTCATTTCATTTTTTCTTTTTCGTTCCAAAAAAGAATATTTTTTGAAAGATTGGTTTTACATAAGAAAGTTATAGGAATTTATGAATTTATAGTTAAAAGAATCATTTCAACAATTTAATTCAAATCACTCAAAATGATAAGATAGATGAAATCTCAAATGTAATTGATTGAAACTGATAAAATTGATTGATAAAGAAGAGCTTTTGAATGTGCTCTAAATTTATGTTAAAGAATTGAATATAAAATTAGATAATAGAAACTTATCAATACTTACCAAAAGTTAATTCATTGATATTAATCATTTCATTCAAACAAATAAATCATTAAAATGATGAAGAAAACAGAAAGTAAAATTGATTGTCGTCTCTACTAATTTCTTAAATACATTTTCAATCAACGCCTGAAACTTATGTTTCTTTACAAATTAATTTTTTCAGTGCATTCCTTTTATGTTATCTTACAGAAATAAAAACGGTACCAAAACCCCATAACGAATGGTCACAGTTCAATCGATATAATATAATATTACGAACAATACCTATCTTACTATTATTGCTACATCACTTATATAAAATGTGAAAGATTTTTGATGAAAATTTATCACGATATTCTGTCTTGCTAAATGTGTGACCAATAAGCACATGAAAAATTTTCTTCCAAGAAGCATAGTATTCAAATAGGATTCTTTCTTGGTGATACAAATTGCACAACAAACAAAGCCAAATATTGCTCTCAGATTGGTTAGTATCTGTTAAGTTAATAATTCGTTGAACCGATCAGGTGATCGATCTTATCAAATTTGGCATTGATCAATGAACCATTTTATTGAAATCACTTTGATATTAGAGGAAAGAAAATATTCTAAATGGACAACAAGTTGAAATATTATCGTTCTCAAAAGTATTTTAATAAATAAAATTCGTTGACATCTTTATAAATTAGTAATAGAAAATTTTTAGGTCAATAAATCTTGAAAGAAAAGTTATTCGTCAATACTTGCCTTATCAAAACATTTAACCGAAATAATCGCATGAAAGCAACGATCAGTTACATTCTGTGATAATGCTTCTTTACTAACATCATGATCTTTATCAACATTAAATTCTTAAATATTATCAGTATATTCACATCATTACCTTCACCATCATCACTTACTTTTGTAAGTATTATACAAGATCTAATGTATGTACAACTTATTAGATAATTCAAACCAAATTTCCAAGCTATAATTTGTTAGGTCTTTACTAAATTGTTAGGAAATTGTCAATTACAGGTTGTAAGCAATGCATTATCATTATCATAATCATTGATATTGGATGGAAGTTGTGATAACAGTTTTCTTCATCAATGTCATTGCTAAGATGTCATTTTTATTACTTATTATCATTAAACTTTTGGTTATCAGTTATTAATAAAATGAGATATGTTTGAGGGATATGTATGTGCATGTGTGCGTGTGTTTGTGTGTGTGTGTGTGTGTGTGTGTGTGTGTGTGTGTGTGTGTGTGTGTGTGTATGTAACAATTTGTATGGCTTTGTAAACCAGATATAATATTTGATGGATAGTGTTCTTGTCATCACTTTCAGCTACTAACTTAGTTCAGTCAACAATGTCAAAACGACAACCGATCTTCATCCACTTTGTGATGTTACTGTCTCGTTATTTGACATATATCTTCAGCATAACTTCTGTTTTAATTTCAATTAAAAAAAAAATTATAGCTATTAAGGCCATTTCCATCTATTCATTTACTGTCACTTATCTATAAAAGTTTGCAGTAAATTTTTTTTAAACTAAACTTAATAGTGAAAATGCAGAAAAAGAGTGAAATCGGATTTAAGTGATTATAAAAATAATGAAATCAGGTGTATACTAATAAGTGATGAGCGTTGTTGATTAGATTTGTTGATTAATTAGATCCAACGATTCAATAACAATCTCTAAGTAACTCTCCGAAGTTTTAACTACTGTTAACTACTGAAGTTGCAATTCCGTTAAACGATGTTGATTACAGTTATGCCGGAGCGATAGTGATGATTTTAAAAGCACTTCTCTAATCGAACGCTGAAGTATTCATTAGCCTATTAAAGAGCAGTTCCGGAGTTCATACAATTCTTTGAAAAACATTAAAGTACAATTCCGGAAAAACAATCGTTTCAATTTTTATACACTACTAACTCTAACTATTCTATAAGCAATCAATAATCACATTATAAAGTGTAATTAGTCACAATTAAAATTTGCTAATTTAAAATAAACATAATTCTTGTTGTTTCATTATTTCTAATACTGATTTAAAGTATTTTTTTATTTGGATATATTCAAAGTTCTCTTTCTTGGAGGCGAATAACACTTGCGCTAATATAATTTGCAATATTCTGTTACATTAGTTGAAAAGCATAAATCCTCCGGTCTTTTAATACCGGAAGAAGCAACTTTCTGTTTTCAGTACATTTCCAAAGTTCCAATGAAAATGCAAACCATTAATGTTATTTATCCTAGGCATTTTTGCCGGAGAAATATTTAAAAACAATTTCAGTAAATTTCAATTTTCCGCAATCTGTTATTATTTTAAATCACATTGTTTGAACAAATTACTAAAACGGATAAGTGTGATATAGCTGTGCTATTCACAACTGATAGTTATATTTCCGTTACTGTAAATTAATAGCCTTGTTTTCAGGTTAGTATCTCTAATAACATTGTTTCCAGAAGGTTGAAAATACAACTTCAATAATGTCGGAATATGAGAGCGATTCTGGCTGGCAATATTTACGTCAACCTCAACAGCAAGTAATTTATTTTGAAATTCAAAGATTTTGCCAATTTGACGATAGATTGAATATAGTAGTCAAGTTATATGATATGATATTATTTTATTATCATACCTCTCAAATTCTAATTATATTTTATCGTTTTATTCCACTGTTTCTTCTCGCTATTTGATCTGTTTTTTTGGCAGCATAATTAAGTATGCTACTGTTTAGAATTAATTAGAAGTAAGATTTGATTCCAGATCGTTGCAACAGCATCAAAAAGAGTTGGTTTAAAGAAAGTTTGGGTGCCTGATGAAGAAGAGGGTTTTATTGCTGCAGAGATTAAATCAACAAAGGACGATTTAGTTACTATTATTACTTGTAAGGGAGTTGAGGTTCGAAATTTTTAAAACTGAAAATATTCAAAATTGAAGATTGTGTGACATTCAACTAGAAGAGTTTATCACGCCAATTGCATTTATACAATAAATTCTTTTTAATACAGAATTTTTTTAATTCAGATAACGAATAATGAATTTTAATTTCTCTTTAGAAAAAAGTGCTGCAATGATTTGCATAATTTTTTTAGGCTCGAAATCTATGAGATATGCTAATTTTAGCTTCGAAATCTATGAGATATGCTTATTAAATCAAAAAACAAATACTGTATTTTTTCTAAATTGTAAATTTCAGAAGACTTTGAAAAAAAATGAAACGCAAAAAATGAATCCATCAAAATATGAGAAAACGGAAGATATGGCAAATTTGACATTTCTGAACGACGCATCTGTACTTCATAATTTACGTGAACGATACTTCTCTATGATGATTTATGTAAGTTAGCTTTAGAAAACATCAATGAATAACTTGTCATAATAATTGCAATTATCCAACGAATTGTTTTATTTTTGAAAATTATTTAAAACTTTTTCAAATTCAGATAGCATTTGACAATTTCTACTTATTAATAAATTATTTATTTAACATATTAATTGACAAAATATTGCGAATTTCAAATGAAATTATAATAATCTCTTCAAATTTATGCCAACATGCGAAATGCATGCAAAACTGAAATTTCCTATAACACTTCAAGCTTACAAATAGATGTGTGCAGTCCAGATTTTGATGGCTTATGCAAAGCGCTGTTTAGTTAATTTTTAACCCATTTAAATTATTTGCATAAGTATATCGAAGAATAGATATATCGTTCAATTTCAAATGATCCTATTATTAACAATTAATTGAATTAAAGTAAGCGTAATATATAGCTTTATTTGCGTTATGTTAATTATGATATTGGCTTAAGTAAAAAGTTAGCAAAAGTTGAACTATTTTTGACATTTGAATTGTTTACTGAAAGGATGAAGACGCAAAAGATAAAAGGGATTGAATATAGATTGTTTACATAAAAGGTAAAAATATAATTAACATAAAATTGATAATAAATATATTTGTAAGAGTAAAATTTGAATATTTTACAATCATTACAAGTTGGCATTCATTTGTTTAATTAAATATACAACTGTTTGATGTTTTTCTTTTGAATATTTGCATTATAAAATATTTGTGAGCTCAATTTTACCTTTGAAGCATTCGATAGAATTTTGTATACAAAGGGAAGAGAGTGAAAAAGAGTTTGTCAAATACTTAAACTGAAGAATATCTCAAATAAAACTATTTGCTAATAATTCATTCTTATACATTTTGATGCGTAACTAAATCCTGTTTCTTTGGCAAAGAAAATCTAAATTTAAATCTTATAGTGTAAATTGGAAGAGACAATTAATTCAATGCATTTAATTATTTACCTTAAATTATAATCTTAAAAAATTCATCGCTAATAAGCATTGCAATTAAAAATAATAATAAAATAAAAGATTTAATTAAAAGATTCCAAAATTTTAAAATTTGTAAAATTTAACAGAAAATTTTAGAAAGCGTTAAAAATTCAAAAAAAAAATTCTATAAAAAATGCAAAAATTTAATTCTAACAAAAATTTTCGGAAATAAAATTTACTTAAATGTTTTCAGACTTATTCAGGCTTATTCTGTGTCGTTATTAATCCTTACAAACGTTTACCAATCTATACGGAAAATATTTGCAAAATGTATATCGGGAAACGGCGTACTGAAATGCCACCTCATTTGTTTGCTGTTTCTGACGAAGCTTACAGAAATATGATTAATGGTAATTTTTTCAAAATTAAAAACTTGTTATCATATTTTTAATTGTTATCATATCACAATACTATTATCATTGATAAGGATTTTTCCCCAAATTTGAACTAAATGCTAACAAGAGATAAAAAAGTATCTTTTTTCGATACGAATGATATCTAAAGTGGGCTTTTACGTTGAGTGATAGGAAAAATGCTTATCAATGATAATAGTAACTGTTATGATAATTTTTTATGCAATATGATAATGATTTTTTTGATAATTATAAAATTAAGAATAGTTTCTTTCGAAACTAACCAGTTTTTCTTCAGCTTTTTTCTTTTATATTTTAAAAGTTTTAATCATATTACCACTGATGTTAACAAATATCTATCGATTACTTCATAAAATGTGACATTTTTAAAACTATCAAAAACTTTTAGATCACAAAAATCAATCGCTGCTAATTACCGGTGAATCAGGTGCAGGAAAAACAGAAAATACAAAAAAAGTTATAGCTTATCTTGCTATTGTTGGTACGACAAATTCAACAATGTAAGTTTCATTTCAAAGTTAAATCAATTTTTATCAATCATACGCTTTACTTCATTTGAAAGTATTGTTTTAATTAGTTATTGAAAATTAAAGCAATTGATAATAGCAATTTGGTTTTATTGGAAGTGAGATGTTTTGAGTTTTGAATTTATTCACTTACACACACACACACACACACACACACACACACACATACATACACACAGACACACACACACACACAGACACACACACACACACACATATATATATAGACATTTGAACAATTTTAATTATCATTGTCCTCAAACTTTGCAAAATTATTTAACATTATGGAAAATCGAAAGTTTTTTCTGTTGCATGAAAAATTTGATTTGTGAAATGTATGATATCGTTATTAATTATTATATTAGTAATTTAAATAATAAAGCATACCAAACAAATAAATATTGGAAATTTAAATTTAAACTTTCTTAATTATTCTAGCAAATCCGAGAAGAATTGCAAGGAAAAATCTTCTATTGAAGATCAAATTGTACGCACTAATCCGGTACTTGAGGCATTCGGAAATGCAAAAACTGTACGGAACAATAATTCGTCACGTTTTGGGAAATTCATTCGGATTCACTTCAATGTTGGCGGAAGACTTGCCGGAGCTGATATAGAGCATTGTAATGAATTATTGTTTTCTGTTGTAAAATATCATAGTCCAATAATTTTGTAAGAATTAAATGATTTAAAAAATATAACCATTTGATTGTCTCCATTATTTATTCAACTTCAAACTTATTTGCTGTCAAATTAATTAATATGAAAAGAAGGATCAGAAATTTGAATATAAATTTACATACTAAACGAACCCTTCAATTGATCTCTTCAATATATCCACCATAAAGCTTCCCGCGGAATTTTCCTTTCCACCGAAAAGGCTTTCTTCATTTCTGCAAGGATATTGTCACATTTTTAATAATTTCACTTAAATTATAGATTTATTGGAAAAATCTCGAGTTATCAAACAGGCGCCGGGCGAACGATGCTATCATATTTTCTATCAAATTATGTCCGGTCAAATTTCAGGATTAAAAGGTAAAATAACTTTCTCTTCAATTATCCATTAAAACTAGAAAAATTCATCGCATTTGTGCCATTTAAAAAAAGATAGAAGTTTTTAAAATTTTTCATAAATTAAATTTACCAATCTATTAGAAGATGAATTGATATAAGCAAATGAATAATTAGAAATTTGCAGAGAAGTTATTTCTAACACGCGAAATAACTGATTATCATTTAATCTCTCAAGCTGAAGTGACCATCGATGATATGAATGATAAGGAAGAAATGCAATTAACTGATGTAATTTATAAATTCAATTCAAATATATTTTATATCTAATTTTTGAGTAATTTCAAATTGACTTCACACTTTTTGAAGTCATTTGTTTATTTTCTTTTTCACCTCCAAATTATTTAAATTTTTAAATTTATAAGTTAACCTTCAGGAATCATTCGATATTATGCATTTTGCTGAGCAAGAAAAGCAAGAGATATATGCGCTAGTGGCTGGTATTATGCATATGGGTGAAATTAAATTCAAACAGCGACAAAGAGAGGAACAAGCGGAATGTGAAGATTATCAAGGTAATTTCGTCTAATGAAATCGATTTAAAATTTTTTGAGTTTAATCAAATTTATAATTTAATTAATTTGTAGTATTAAGAATTGAATCAAATTTAAACTTTACAATTACTGTTTCGATCTGAATTCCATGAAAAGAATGCAATCCAAAAATGATGTTCTTTTATTTGCAAAATTCTTGTGGATATTTCTAAGAAGTGATAAGTAATGAGTGATTAATTAATAAGAATGATAAATTGGCTAAACGTAATATTTTGTAGAAGGTGATTTGGCTTGTAAATTGTGGATGATTGACACGGATAATTTCATATCTTCATTATTAAAGCCTCGTGTTAAAGTTGGCATGGAATGGGTGAGCAAAGGTCAGAACCTTGAACAGGTCGGATGTTTTTGCATATATTTGGTCTAATTGTAATATATTAAATGATTAATTTCTATTTATTTTCTAATTAAAATTAAGTTTCAGGTAAATTGGGCTGTAGGAGCACTAGCAAAAGCAATATATGCGCGAATGTTTGCATGGCTAATTAAGAGATGTAATAAAACATTGGACGTACAAGATCGTAACCGTGACTATTTTATTGGGGTGCTCGATATTGCTGGCTNAAATTGGGCTGTAGGAGCACTAGCAAAAGCAATATATGCGCGAATGTTTGCATGGCTAATTAAGAGATGTAATAAAACATTGGACGTACAAGATCGTAACCGTGACTATTTTATTGGGGTGCTCGATATTGCTGGCTTTGAAATTTTCGATGTAAGAATTCTAATTCAGTAATCATTTTCAAATATTTGTTAAATCAATAGAGATTGTTTGTTGATTGTCATAGCAAAAGTTTTTAGGAAAGAATATTGTTTCATATATAAATTATGAATTTATTTCAACTTATTTAATTTCATATTATTTTAGTTTAATTCATTTGAACAATTATGGATTAATTTTGTAAATGAGAAGTTACAACAATTCTTCAATCAGCATATGTTCGTTCTTGAACAGCAAGAATATCAACGTGAAGGAATTCAATGGGAATTTATCAATTTTGGCTTAGATCTTCAATCATGTATTGAACTGATTGAAAAGGTGTCAAATAGTTTCATATTGAGTACCATTAAATATATTCTATTCGAATTAAAAATCTGTTCTTCTATTTCTCAGTTCATTTTAAATTAAACTATCCTCTTTTTTTTCATTTCATTCCAGATATATTTCATAGTAATAACAAATATAATTCATCAGCCATTACTATTTTTGATTTTGAATAATTCTATTTCAAGCCACTTGGTATTATTTCAATATTGGACGAAGAATGTATTGTACCAAAGGCGTCTGATCTTACATTGGCACAAAAAATCAACGATCAACATCTTCGAAAACATCCAAATTTTCAGAAGCCTAAACCACCAAAAGGGAAACAGGTCTGTAATTGATTGAAATAATAAAAAATAATTTGTAAATTTTAATTTCAAAATTTCAAAAACACTCACTCATAGTCAAAAAATTATTCAAAACAATTGTATTATCAATTATTGAAGATGTATGAGAGATAATGATTCTAATCTTGTCCAGCAGAATTTGTTAATCATTCTAATCAATTGCAAAAATATTCTAATAATTAAAAATTTCAGGCTATTGCTCATTTGGCCATAGTACATTACGCAGGTACGGTACGTTACAATGTAACAGATTGGCTAGAGAAGAACAAAGATCCACTTAATGATACAGCTGTGGGCGTTTTAAAAGCAAATACTGGAATGATTTTAATGAGAGAAATTTGGGAAGATTACAAAACACAAGAAGATATTGCTAAGTGTGGTTAGTATTCCTTCCTATATAAGCATTTGATAGAAGTTTAAAAAATATAATTATTAGAAACAAATTTTATTAAAAACATTGCTAATTTGAAGATATTGCTAAATTTTTTTGATAAGTTTTCCACGGCACAATAGCATATTAGTACTATTATCACTTCGAATGCAAAGTACCAAACAATTTTTATCTCTGAAATTGTTTCTTATCGGTTTAAAATGTGCCATGCAGAGTCTGTGATGAAAATTTCACATGAGGTTTTATAATTTGTCATAATCACTTTTCTGTAAGTTCAACAATATATTTATAGTTTAATTTAAATGTAGTACAATTTTAAAATTAATTAAACTTGTAGCAAAAGATGGCCAAAGGAGCAAAAAGAAGGGTAAATCAGCTTCATTTATGACTGTTTCAATGATGTATCGCGAATCGTTGAACAATTTGATGACTACGCTCCACAAAACTTATCCACATTTCATTCGTTGTATCATACCAAATGAGAAGAAGCAATCAGGTATTCTGGTTTCTTATTTAATTTGATAAAATTTTGAACATATTTAAAATTAAACATTAAAGTCTTTGCTTCCTTCTTTTTTCGATATTTTAAGTTTACTTCAGGTGTGATTGAGGCTTTATTGGTGCTTAATCAGCTTGCATGTAATGGTGTACTTGAGGGTATTCGAATTTGCCGTAAAGGTTTTCCAAATCGTACCTTACATGCTGACTTTAAGCAAAGGTATTAATAAGTTGAAGTTTTTTTTAACATAATGCTTAAATTTTATAAGTAGTCACCATTTTGACTGCCTTTTTACCAAGCCGAGAATAATGAAATATCGCAAATGAATGTTTGCTTTCTTATGATAACAATTAATTGCATTGTAAGAGATCATCGATGAGAATAAGTTTGATTGGAATGAAAATTTAATTGATTTTTAATGTTCAAATTAGATATGCTATTTTGGCTACCGAAGAAGCATCTTGTGAAATTGATCTTAAGCAATGCGTTACAAAAATGTGCACAAAATTAGAAAAAAATGGAACTTTGAAACCTGATGATTACTGCATTGGGAATACTAAGGTTTATTTGTGAAATTTATTTTCAACAATATTTATTTGAAATGAAAACTTTAATAAAGAAACAATCATTTCTGAAATCTAAAAAATTAAAATTTAAATTAAGACTGCTAATTAAACTAGAAAATTCAAAAATTTCTGCAATTTGTAGATATTTTTCAAAGTTGGCATCTTTGCTCGTCTTGAAAATCTTCGAGATGAAGCTTTATCAATTATAATAATCAAATTTCAAAATGAATGCAGATACTATAAAACTCAATTTGATCTACGTTGTAGAATGCAGAGGAAGTGAGTTTTTTCACACTGCGATTTAAAATATGATATCATCAATTTTCACAAAATTTAATATCTAAAATTAGAATCGAAAATTAATATTTACAAAATTCAAAGTTTTTAATTTCTGCATTTTTTTAACCGATATCTAAGCATGAAAAGAATGATTCTTCGCCATTTAGAGTTGGTATCTTATTATTGCAACGTAATATTCGCGCATGGTGCACATTGCGCAATTGTAATTGGTTTAAGCTATACGGCCGTGTCAAACCATTAATTAAAGCAAGTAAAAAGGTAGAAGAATTTGTTAATTTGTTTATCAATGAAATTAAATTGGTTGAGGGGAATGAGTATTTCGATGAATTTGATCAACAATTTTTAGTTTCATTCGATGTTTTATTGTAAGATTAAGGGGAACTGATAATGATATATTTTATCGCTTATGAAAAGTTCATATTAAGAAATAAGCCTTATAAAAATTCTTGAGGAAAGTTTCTATTTCTGTTAGGATGAAGAATTCGAAGCATTGCAAAAGAGAGTAAAGGAATTAGAAGAGAATTTGAATTGTGAAGAAAAACTACGTAAGGAGAAAGAATCGGAAATAGCCAAATTGATGAACGAAAAACAACAACTTTTCTTGCAAATTCAACAGGAAAAAAATATAAGTGAGGAAGGAAAAGAAAATATTGCTAAGTTTTTGGCTCAAAAAATTGACTCTGAAAAACAGGTAAGAATGTTTCTTCCTTTTTTAATTTAGAATTTTCCTGTTGTTATCTTCGATGCAAATATTGCAGTTGAAATTAAACACTAGCACATTTATGCTTTAGCGAAGCGTCTAAAAATGAGCGTAGCATTATCTGTGTAAGTAAAAGATGCTGAAATTTCTATTTTACTTAAAATTTGAGATGTATCTTCAAAACCAAACATTCTCCCTTAACTATAACTGTCATTTGTTTTGTTATCACTTTCATCAATAATCGTTATCATTATTATATGTCAAAAATAAAGTGTTAGTGATAATGAAACAATTGATATTTTTAATATTACAGTTTGCTTATGTAAACGAACAGCTTGCTGAACAAGAAGACAGAAATGCAACTTTATTAAAAATGAAGAATAAAGTAGAGCATGATAATGAAACTTTAAAGCATACAGTTGCTGAGCTGGAAGCCAATTGTAAAAGGCTTGACCAGGAGAAGCAAGGCAAGGATCATCAACTCCGATCTGTACAGGTTCACATCTTTTTTGCATCCTTCTTCACAGATGCCACTATATTATTTCCTTTAACATCAAATTAAGTCCATAGAATTGAAAAGTAGCGAAGTAGAAAAAAATAAATGAAAATTGTTATTTTAAGGATGAAATAAGATCGCAGGATGAAGTAATCGCAAAAATCACCAAAGAAAGAAAGCATCAGGAAGAGGTTTGCTACTATAAAATTCTTATCCAAGCTTAATTTAAAACTTTATTAAAATTTTCTTTTAATTTGAAAAATAAATTATCACTTTATTATTGTTATTACTATTATTATTATAAATTATTATTAAATATTTTTATTAATTATTATTGTTATGTTTGTGAAGGTTATTATTATTTTAAACCAAACTTAGATTGGATTTTTTTAATCAAATATTCTGATTAAATAATAAATGTAAGAAGACAGCGAGTCTTTATCATTATCAAATAAGTTCATTTGTTACAGACAAGTCGTAAGCTTCTGGAAGAAATTCAATCTAAAGAAGGCGAAATAAACCGTCTAAAAAAAATACAAGATAAATTGGAACAAACTATAGATGAGATTACTGATAATTTGGAACGAGAACGACGAATACGTCAAGATATTGAGAAATCAAAACGTAAAGTTGAAGGCGAGTTAAAAATCGCTCACGAAAACGTTGATGAATTCATAAAACAAAAACACGAAATGGAAAATGCCTTAAAAAAGTATATCGTTTATGACCAATAGTATTTTTTTTGACCGTTGAAACTGGCACCATCCCAACCACTATAAATAATGAAGAAAAATTAACGTAAACAAAGGTCAATTTTCTCCTATATTAAGCATGTTAAAATAGCCAGGAGAATTAATTTTCACAATAAATTATATATTAATTGCATTATTTTGCGAACGCAACGCTGAACGAAATTGCTTTGAGCACTAAACAGAAGGAATTAACTTCTATGCAAATTTTTTTAAATTAGTAATTTTTGCTATGAAGATATATTTTATGATAAATTACTTTTGAAGGAAAGATACAGAAATAGCTTCAATGCTAAGTCGTATAGAAGATGAGCAATCTGAGGTAAGTAAAATTCAGCGTCAATTAAAGGAACAAATTGCGCATTGTCATGAACTTGAAGAAGAGCTTCAGGCTGAAAGACAAGCAAAATTGAAGGTTAATTGCCGATTTACTTTTTAAATTATGGAATAGTTCGAAAAATTTAATTCAATTCAGCTTAGTTCACATTTTTCGATTCATAGCGATAGATTATCACAGAAAAGACTTTACGTTTTTGTTTCTTTTAATAGAGCAAAATAATAATTATTGCTTGGAAATTCATTTAATTTTAAAATTTTCTAAATAATATACTAACATTTCTAATTATTAAAAATTAAAACAATGTAGAAATATTTCCGCAACTAATCGGTACCAATTAAAAGAACTTTAAGAGTATTGTGATATTATCAGAGGTTCTGCAATTTATAGTGAACATTTTTTACTCTTATCAAGCCATTGGGTAACAGGTGAATTAAACTTTTCCTAGTTGTAAGTTCTCGTCTTTGTAATTTTGAATTAAATTTTTCAACGTAAAAATATTTAAAAGATTGAGAGAAGTCGCAGTGAAATGCAAAAAGAAATTGAAGAGCTTAGCGATCGTCTTGATGAAGCGGGTGGCGCAACACAGGCGCAAATTGAATTGAATAAGAGATGCGAGGCAGAATCGGCTAAGTTTCGTCGAGATTTGGTTAGAAAATGCCTGTATTTTATAATAAGTTAATCTACTATATATAACTTTTGAGCTTTAATTCTTCAACAAATCGAACTTTTCCATTCAATTTTTGAAATGTCTTTTTATGAAAATTGACAACAATATGCTTAAGCTTTATGCATAAGCAAAGTAAAAATTCATTCAAAACGTATTTATCGTCGTGGATAATTTTTAATATTAATATTATTGCCACAATCCCTTTTGTAATAAACGAATAATTGCATAATTTGCAGGAAGAATTGTCGTTAAACGCTGAAAAAACTATGGTTAATTTACGTAAAAAATGTAACGATGCAATAGCGAAACTTTCTGAACAATTGGATAGTGTTCAGAAGGGACGAGTGAAGTTGGCTTTCTTCTGACCTCCGATACTATTATTACTTCAGACTTGGCCAAGTGTATTTAGAATTCTTTAAAAGAAAATATTAAATTTTTTCTAAATAAATTCTGAAAGTTTGCAATAATCGAAATTTAGAGCAGAAAAAGAAAAAGACTCTCTACAACGAGAAATTGATGATTTGCGAAGTCAATGTGATTTAGAAATTAAAGAACGGCAAAATATGGAAAAACTTGCTAAGAAGGTTGGATTTAAAATAAATTGTTTGACATTCTAGAATTTTTTTTTTTTGTTTATGCTAGAATTAAAGTTGAAATGTTAAACATTTTTTTAAATTTTAACTGAGTAAGAAATATTATGAATTCAGTTTCAAATTTTAGTTGGAAATACAACTAGCAGATTCTCAATTGAAATTCGATGAACAAATACGAAATTTGCAAGAAATTGCTGCAACCAAAAATAAGTTGCAGATTGAAGTCAACGATGCGAACAAGTAATATCAATAACTATCACTGCATAATGAATGTTTTTTTCAACAATATAATTTAATCAAAAATAACAGAAAAAACGCAGCAAATTGCGCGATATCATTTACGAATTTACATAGCAAATTACCGTCTTATCATTGATATCATATTTATCAATGTTTGTAAGGAAATTTTGAATAAGAAGGGGAAAAGTGTCGAAGTGATCTGCATCTATCTTCAAAGAGATAAACTGAAGCCTGCAATTTCCGATGAAGAAGGAATTTTTTAGTCAGCTAGAAGAATACGAAAATCAGATAGCATTGTTGAATCGTAGCAAGCAACAATTGATCGTGGAATTAGAAGAAGTGAAACGACAACTGGAACAGGAATCTCGGGAAAAGCATTCATTTAATTCCCAAGTATATAAGCATTCATTCAGTCCATGATAAAATGATAGTTCTATCTAAATTTAAGATTTAAAAAAGGAAAAAAATATAAAAACATAAAATTTAGCTGTCAAATTTACAACTGGAATGTCAGCAACTTCGTGATACGATGGATGAGGAAATGGATAGTAAAAGAGAGCTTCAAAGATTAATTTCAAAAGCTAATGATGAAGCACAGCAATGGAGAGCTCGATATGAGAGTGAAGGAATGAGTCGACCAGAGGACTTGGAAGAAACTAAGTAATTTACAGAATCCGCTTATTTCATTACATTTAAATCAATGATGCCATTTTTATTATTATTGTTACTTAATACACAATGTATGGTAACTTATCAATGGTATCGTGTTTAGCACCATTGCTTCATTTACTGCATTTATCTAAATTTAGGCGGAAATTGCAAGCGAAAGTGCAGGAAATGCAAGAAACATTAGATGCAGCAAATAATCGTATTAATTCATTGGAAAAAACTCGCTTACGGCTGGCTCACGAACTTGAGGATGCGCAAATGGACACCGAAAAGGTAACTGTTTTTATCATATCTTATCTTGTACCAACTGAAATTGCTTTAAAGATTTTGAAAATATACTTTCTGAAAAATAATATTATCAATTTTATAGCGGTTATAATTAAAGATTAAATGAATGTTACAGCTCTCTGAAGGCAAAGCCATTTTGAATTTTTCTGATAGAATTTTACTAGCATCAGGTAGGGCCTATTTCAGAAGTCCAATGTAATCAATTAACCTAAAATAATGCAACACTTTATACTTTCAGTATAAATATTGATTTTTAGGCTAACAGTTTTGCAAATTCTTTGGACAAGAAGCAAAAAACATTCGATAGAACGATTGAAGAATGGAAGCGTAAATGTGACTTGCTAACACACGAATTGGAAGCAAGTCAGCAGGAGGCACGAAACGGGACCACCGAAGTATTTAAACTTCGCAGTACGGTGGAGGAAATAGAAGAACAGGTAATTTATCTCTGTATTTTCATTATGTTAATATAACCACATTTTCAAATTGATATTTACCATTTTTTAGAACAATAATAAGCAGCTCTGTTGTTTACAATCACATTGAGATGAAGCTAATGAAGAGCCTAATAAGAATAGAAATACAAGAGTTAGTCCTAGACATTTATAGTTGTCAAGTGAAGTGACATTTTGCAATTTTAGTTTATGACTAAGTCATTTATGTTTTATTAAATATAATATGTTTAGATGGAAGCATTGCGACGAGAAAATAAAGCATTAACAGAAGAGTTAAAGGAACTTACTGATCAACTTGGCGAAGGAGGAAGAAGTCTGCATGAATTACAGAAACAGAAACGAAAATTAGAAATGGAAAAAAATGAACTTCAGGTCATTCACTCATCAAAAATTACAATTGAAATTGCAATTTTGCAAATAATTTTTTTGAATAATTTCTTTTGCATTAAACTTTGAATATTAAAAAGAAAATCTCAATAAACGATCAAATTGTCAAAGAAAAAGGAAAAATTCAGCAAGCGTTGGATGATGCTGAAAATGCATTGGAAATGGAAGAGAATAAAACTTTACGAGCACAAATTGAAATTTCACAAATTCAATCAGAAATTAAAAAGTGTATAACTGAGAAAGAGGAAGAATTCCAAAATACACGAAACAATCATCAACGTGCTTTGGAAAGCATACAGGTTCCCTTAATTCTTAGTCTAATTTATTTTTGAAATTAGGTTTTTTAAAATGTTCCAGAAATATTAATTGAATATTTCAACTCCATTCAATAATTGATATAAATTCATACATTTTATCTAACCTGTATTTTTTTGAAAATTTCCAGAATTAGAAAGATTAATTTTAAGATGATAATTCATAATTTAATTCTTAATTAATGGCGTTTTAACATNTTCAACTCCATTCAATAATTGATATAAATTCATACATTTTATCTAACCTGTATTTTTTTGAAAATTTCCAGAATTAGAAAGATTAATTTTAAGATGATAATTCATAATTTAATTCTTAATTAATGGCGTTTTAACATTTAGGCTTCCTTGGAAGCAGAATCGCGAGGCAGAGCCGATTTGCTTCGTATGAAAAAGAAATTGGAATCAGACATCACTGTAAATTTTGCTATTCTTTATTAAAGGTCAAATCCTATAGTAAGCAAAATTGGACGAAATATGTGCATTGAGATTGCAAAGTGGATTTCACTTTTTTTTAACCTAAAATTGAATCATAGATCTGAAATCACAATTTGAAAGTAGCATTGGATTTTCCAGGGATTGGAAGTAGCATTGGATCATGCTAATCGTGCCAATACGGATGCTCAGAAAACGATTAAACGTTACCAGGATAATGTACGTGAATTACAGGTAATCAAATTTCATTTTATTTTATAACCGAAAAATATAAAAGAGAAGCTTTCTTTTCATTTACTCACTACGCAATGCAAATATTTATTTATATTTTTCATCATATCTCTTTCATTGATGTTCAGAGGAAATTTCTGTAAGCTTAATACTTTTGCTACTCCACCAGATTTTATATGAGAACGTAGTAAGACTGCTGGCTTTCTTCCTGAAGTAAGTGTTATCCGGAACATGATGAATCTTTAGCAGAAGAGATGAAAGGTATCAAGTTCGAGGATTTTGAAAAAATGTGTAAAAGATGAATGAATTGTTAGAGGTGTGTTAAAGTTGATAAATGAATAAATTAGTGCAGTAAACATGAATTTTTAATTTTTCTTCAAACAAAATCTCATTCTTTCAAAAAAAATGATTGTCGAATGGGAATTTTAACATTTTAACAGTTAACCTAAGGTTTTTAAATTTAGTAGTATAGTAGTAATTTTACAAGTTTTAATAATAGACTCAAATGGATGATGAACAACGCCAACGTGATGAGCTACGAGAACAAATGAACATAATGGAAAGACGTGTTCAAGTATTACAATCAGAAAAAGAGGAATTGACCGGAACGCTTGAGCAGGTTGGCAAGAAATAAATTTTTGATATTAAACTTGGAATAACTTATATATTTTCAACTTTGAGCTGTTATGATGCACATTTTTCATTTTCAACTTTGTTAATCGAATGAAGATAGTGCTATCAAGCATGCTTAGATGTCATTGAAATATTCAGATTGATATATGATATAGTTTAAGTTCTACTGTATAGTATCAGTTGAATAATGCTTGATTGATTAATTAATCAAACTGATAGGGATGAACTTCTTGCTAAAATCATTTTATTAAAATGATATTATGCAAATCGATTACCAACTGTGAATAATTCTCGATCACTTTTCCAAAATCTTGCTGTTTTATCAAATCAACTTGAAAAGTGCCTAAAGTTTAAAAGTTATAGTTCAGGTATATTCCCTAAATTTATGAATTCCTTCATATTGATGTCAAAATGCAATTCCTCTAAGAAATAAATTTTTCCATAAACAATTTTTCTGTTTGGTTTATTTTATAGGATAACTTCAAGATCCTTGGACAACTTCACTTATTTGGAATTTTGAGAAAAAATGAATTAATTTAGACCGAACGAATTCGTCGCCGAGAAGAACAAGAAGCTGCTGATGCAAAGGAAACAGTGAATTCTTTAACTCAAAATAATCACTCGCTATTAGCTACGAAACGAAAATTGGAATCCGAAATTCAGGTTTCAATATTTCATGAAAAAATTTTCAAACTTAAGAAAAATTCATAATGACTAAGTTCCTGTAAAACAATTTTTATTGCATGATATTTGTATCAACATTGTACAATGTTGGTATAAAGTTATGCATTTGTTAAACTTCTGAGTGTCATTAATTAAATTTTACATTTAACATGTTTGTTCGAACAGTTGTCAGTTTCATTCTTCTACTCATCTGTTTAAAAAACAAATAATTTGTCTAAGGAACGATTTCTGTTGTCAGTTTTCTTGCAAAAATCATGATGAGTAGTTAGAGAGAATATAATCTCCGAAATTATTTATTTTATTCACAAATAAGTAAATAATTTTTTTAGTAATTTTTGCATTAAAGATTGCATTTAAACAATTTTAATTCGATTTCACTTTCATCTTCAAATGAATCTAATTTACATACTTTTATTCTTTGCTGAAAGCTCAGACTTTAGAACATATTTAACTATAAAGATTATTAGCTGCTTTTTTTCTTTGTAATTTGATCAAACTTATGCAAAAAGAAATATTAAAGTATTATTTTGCCTTATTTCTAATGTTTGGTTGGTATCGCTTTTCAGCAACTCCATAGTGAACTCAAGGAAACGTTCAATGAATTGAAAAATACTGATGAGCGATGCAAGAAAGCAGTAATGGATGCAGCAAAATTGGCGGAGGAGTTACAAACAGAGCAAAAACATTCACAGAATCTTGATCGACAGCGGAAAGGATTGGAATCGCAAGCGAAGGTTTCAATGAATTCTTTCCATCTTTATTTATCATTATTCTCTCTTTCATCTGGATGATTATTGGAAACTTCTTTTTGATCAAAATTGAACAATTGTTTGAAATGTGTGAAATTAAAAAAAAAGAAGTAAAGAATCCAATTCTAATGTAAACTCTTAATTCAACATTTGATGAAGGATTTTTTCAGGAAATGCAGACGCGTTTGGATGAGGTAGAAGCAACAATGCTAAAAGGCGGAAAACGTATGATAACTAAATTGGATCAACGTGTACGTGATCTTGAAGTCGAATTAGCCGATGAATGCCGACGTCATGCGGAAACTCTTAAAAATTATCGCAACAGAGAACGAAAAGTGCGTGAACTTCAGTTTCAAGTGAATGAAGACAAGAAAAGTAATGAAAGAATGCATGATCTTATCGAAAAGATGCAAGCAAAAATAAAAACTTACAAACAGCAATTGGAAGAAGCGGTTAGTAAAAAACATTTTAAATTTCTTTTTTATTTATTTATGTGATAATTATTCTGTTTGGAATACCTTCTTCTGATTATCAATTGAAAAAAGCTTCTTCCGCTTTGAACTTTTCAATTTTAGCTATCCAACGAATAAAATCTGAATTGACTTGTAGAGCAATCTGTTTCATTCCAATAACTTATCTTTTCTTGCTTTTCAAGATGTTAATTTAATTTAGGAACAATTAACCACTCAGAATCTTAGCAAATATCGTCAGATTCAACATATGCTTGAGGATGCTGAGGAACGTGCCGATATTGCAGAAAATTCATTGGTCAAAATGCGAGCCAAAAATCGTTCTAAACTTCCATTTACTTGTGGACGCATTGCACACTCTGTATCATTTCATTCTATTTATTAAAAATTTAAAGATTTGTTTTGGGATTTCAATGAACTATCAAACTTTAATGAAATGCTAATTAAGATCAAAGCTTCTCTCTGTAATTACCACCATTAATGTCCTTCCGTAGGACTTATTATCGATGCCTCCATAGCTACTTTTACACTTTTCAGTGTTCCTAACTTCTAAAATTGAATTTTAGATGTCAAATGTTGCTATCACAATGAAAACTCCAACCAATTCAGAAGAAGCGTAAACCTCGCCGCCCATATTCATCTCTCATTTCTTTTTAACTTATGTTCAAAAGTTTTTGTTAGCGAAATTCGAAGAAAATATGATAAAAACTTTGAAATTTTCGATTTTTCCCAAACTAAACCATTGTAATATATTATTGTGAATTTTTGATTTTTTGTTTTGAGAGAGCTTTGGTGTGGCACAGTCGAATAGTAACGAAGCTTAATAACTTGATGGAATGATTTATTCTTCTTCATGTTATAATACAGTTATCAGAA